TGTTATTATTGAGCTATTTTAGATTTAAAATTGTGTTAAAGCCTGTCGTTCTATGTCTGCATTTTAAATACTAACTCTCTTATAAACACATCTGCACTAGTTCCTAACCAGATGTGGAAAACAGAAAGCATCTAAAATCCTGACTCTATTTGATTCCTTTTTACTTTAGTTATTAGAAAAATTTGACATATTGGAATACATATTTTCACAATAGAACATTTTGATTATTCACTAGTCTAAACTATTATTTACTATTGTTTATTCTTGACACTCAAACCTATAGCTCCTCGAATCCAATGACATTATAGCTCCAGACTATTTCATTCTATTTATTATTATCTTATTAGTTATATGATTATTATCTTAAAGAGTAGATCAGTTTGATGTTATAAGCGCTAATTATTTTCCTTTTGAATTTGCCACACACCCTTTTTGAATTTGCCCAACACTAAACTTTAGAATGACCCCTATGGGACAAAATAGGAATTTTATTTTCAATTTGGCAACTCCGAAATTTACTTAACAATTTCTCATTTTGTTTTTTAGGCTGCCTTTCTATTATTTATTTGTTCTTGTAAATATATGTTTTACCACTTCTTTCTAATGATTTAGAAGGTTAAGGACCATGCCACCTATGACAATACAATACTCCCCTCGTTGGTCGTGGTCCAAAGTATAAAAACATGCATCTGTAGGTGGTTGTGTAGATTTACTGTTCCAATCTGTTGCTCCTCCCGGATCGTCCTCAATCATATTGTGGGCTTTGGTGCCAAAGTAGAGGCTCATTTCCTTAATTCATACTACTTGTCATCCTGAAGCAGGTGCGTTTATCTTTCATCTGAAAAACAAACATTAGAACCACAAGAAACGCCCACTTTCCTCTCGTCGCATGGTGCGGCCTGTCAATCAATCCCAATGGTGCAAAACTAACTGCATTGACCGACGGTGTGAGACATCAGGGCAGAGGCTGTACGCCAAATACCAGACTTAACTAATATGTATGTTTTCTAATTTTTTTCTACCAAGAAATATTTTACTTTAATATTGTCTTGTGGAATTACACAGCAGACATTGATATAGGTATGTTAGGATTTTCTGTTTGAGGGTTGTACTGTACTTTAATAATATCATATGAGGACAAAGTTATGGACTTTTTTGTCAAGTGTTTGTGGAAATGTTATGGTCAAAATAGACTGGATTTAACAGAATGCTTTTATCATCACAAGTCAAAAAAGCAATAAACTCCTATTCATGAAATTATGTGGTCGAGTTGAATATTAAAACATGGGGCTTCTATTCAATTGTAGACTAAATGTGGACAATATTTACTTTATCCTAAAATCTAACTGGTGCAATTTATATTCAGGTGCACTCACTAACTCAAATAATCTAACTCAGGCCCATTTACGCTGATGTTCATTAAAATGCAATGTCTCTGTATAAAAAATAAAAAATCTATTAAATGAAAAAAAAAAACACTAGTAATTTAAATTGTTTTCAAAACACAGAACCTGAGCCCCTTTGGATTAATCAGGCAAAAGATATGTAAAATATTGTAATTGCCATTTCATTTTATTTTGGAAAAAATTTAAACCATATGAAGATTGTAGTCAAGAAGGTGCTTATGAAACCTAAAATACAGTTCTGCGGATACTACAAACAAAACCTTCTAATGTCTGAATTATATCGTTGATAAATTAAAAAGGTAATTTTTCTCGTCTATAAATAAACAGGGGAATATCTAGTTCAGAGTTGGCACCGTGTATGGTAAACAGAACCATGAATCCTCTGTGATCGTTGCAGCTGCCTGTGTCTGTACAGCATTAGTCTGAACAGTCCTATTGTGATCAAGCAGTTTATTATGTCTTGGCCGCAGATGAAAGGCCCAGTGCAGCGATGATGACTAACCCCGTTTAGTCTAATGGAGCCGAGGAAATGGCCTGATGTCCGAGCGGGAGCCTGACCCCTGGAGCCTCAGCTGCTCTGGGCCCTGCGCTTCCTGTGTCCTCCCAATAAATCCTGCTCCTCCTCTGGAACATCAGACACTGAGCGCCACAGAGACTTTTATTTGATTATTGTTAGACTTTGGCATCATTCTGCAGGCTCAACACAAAAAACTAAACAAAATAGAACGTTTTCAGCGAGCCTTTTAAAAAATGTTTACCACTTTTTGTGAAATTGTGTGTGGATGCAAAACAAAGAATGTTTATCAAAGCACTGTATCTTTTCACAGGGCTCTCCTATCAGTGCTGCAGAACTGTGGTGGTAACAAAATTAACTGGTTACTGTAATATGTCTGGTTTCACCTACCACTAAAATTAAAGGTAACTCAAAGTAACAGAAATATCTGTCAGACTGTATAATAAGTCACTTAATTCCTGCACTTGGCCTGTAAACTCGCACTGCTATAGTCAGTTTTTCATTTTAATTGTACATAAAATACCTTTATTGCACAAAAGTGACTCTATATCATTTCTCTTTTTTAACATGTTTGCACATTAAAAAAGAATTACAGTCTCTCTCTCTGGCATGAGCGACCCAGGCGGTCACCTGGGGGCGCTATCTGTAGAAAGGGGCTCAAAATTGCAGTCTCAAAAAATAAGTGTTTCCCATCACGTAAACTAAATCAAAATACTATACACTCGATAAAATCGTCATCATTGAACCCTGCTGCTGTGGGCAGCCTGCCGCGTCCCAGAGAGAGTGTTCATTAAAAGACAGGTGGACGGGTTTTTGGTCAACGTTATTATGAAAAGGCAGTCCAAGCCGTAAGGTGCAGCCAATAAACGCTGAATAAAAGAAAATGAAAAACGGGCTCAAAGTAGAAGTATGTGTTATCCATCCATCCAGCCATTTTCTTCCCCTTAATCCATCTCTGGGTCAGAGAGGTGGCAGTCAAAGCTGCACCCAGTCACAGAGCACCAGCCCCTCACTGATCCTCCTGCAGGTGCTGAGTCCACAGGAGCTGAGATCTTTCAGCGGGGCCTTCAGGCAAAGTGGGGTTAACTGTCTTGCCCAAGGACACAACGACAGCAGACATCAATGAGCAGCATGCTGGATTGACTCCAGGAAGAATAGCTGTACTTATTACAGCTAATGGAGATCAAAATAAATACAAATGGGAGACGGGGAGGTATGTGTTAATTAACATAATAACTATGACTTTTCATTTGGACATCCAGAGGCTCCGCTCAGCGGTTGGTATTTGCCAAATAACAGAGGCATGCAGCCTTTGGATAGATGAGTCTCTAAGCTCTGGTTTGATCTTTAAAGTCCGTTTTCACAGAGATATGAGCCGCCCAAGAGTACTGTCTGAGACCTGAGAACCTGAACCAGGATTAACCAGTTTACCCTAAGTTTAACTACTGTTTATGCAGTAGTAGTGTAATGTTTTACAATTCAGATACAGTAATATTGTAGAGTAATCCTTTCTTTTGAAAAAACAGTAATATTTAATACATTATGAATTATGATTTTGAAGTAACTTGACACTGATTAAGTCATTGACTGCCATTGACGTATTTGTCTGAGACCCTCTATTGGACTGGGGATTACAGGACAACCAAAACAGCAAGAAACAAACTTATTTTTGCTGATGAAAGCAGGAAATTCAGTCTTTCAGAATCTGGTTTCATATTTGACATAATATTCTGTGGGTCTTGAGAATCAGTGAAATCATCAGAGCGGAGCCAAAAGAGCAAGCAACTTTTTGCAGCTGAAGAAATAAGGAGCCATTTCAGAGACAACTCAGAAAATGTCATTTAGTTCACAAGAGTTCAAGCTGTTGAATACATGTTTTTGTTGATTCCTATGTCCCGAGGGCGTGTTTCCTCTATTTAAAGTAACACGAGTGATCCCTAACAGTGGAAACTGCTACACGGGAAACTACTGCAGCACCGGGAGGACCAGACGATGCCCAAATATAGGTGAGTTCTTTTGGTCCTCCTGTAAGTCCCATGCACTACTGAGCACAAGCCATTCATTTGAATAGGGCGCCATCTTGGATCACCGGGGCTTGTGCACAACTCGTCAGAACACCGGATGTGTCATGTGAATTTTTCACCATCATATTTTTTCGCAGAAAATTTAGACTGTTGAAAACATTATGAAATTGATAATCAGTGACTGAAATTTGCAGACAAGAATATTCAAGATGTTAAAACATTCAAATAGATGAATTCAGGTCCATTTAAAATTCCATTTCTGATGGAACAAATAATCCATCTTTTTTATTTTATTGAAAAAAAAGATTGAATATTTTGAAGGCGAATGTGTCATTTAAAAAACGTAATCACATTGAAATTTGCAAAGACAAAAAATTCAAACATTTTTTTTCAGGGTTAAAATTTTCAAATGGAAAAATTCAAGCTCTTTTAAAATTCAAAATCTGATGATACAAAAAAATCTTCCACAGAATCTGCAATAAAAAAGTGATTTAATCTGAAGGAAACACATGTGTAGACGACCCACTGTACATGGCCAAACCAACAAAGAGAACACTGCCACAGAAATGGTCATACTGTAGTGCACTGTCTCCCAAAGTGGGGTCCGCGGCCCCCTGGTGGGCCGCGAGGGTACTGCAGGGGGGCCGCGGGAGGTCATAAAAAAAATAAAAAAATAATATAATTATTTAATGTTAAATGTATAATGTTTTGTTTGTAATATTAAAATATTTGTGTTCATTATTTGACTTTAATAATCCACTGTAATCATTTTTGTATTACAATGTTTGTAGCAGAGGCTATTTCCCCAAAATAAAATAACCAGAAGAGCTTATTCTTAATGTTGTCTTCTTGGTTATTATTTTGGGGGGCCACGCAGACCCGTCAGATTTTTAAGGGGGCCTCGGTGTTACTGAGTTTGGGAATGGCTGCTGTAGTGTATTTAAATGATATGAAATGTATAAAGACATTGAATTCTATCTATCCAGGCACAGTTGTATTTGTTGAATACAAATGTAAACATAGCTTTCAAATGTTTTGGCTCGAGTGCATGAAGCTTCAGGCCGCTGCAAACATGTTCTCCAGCTCGCCCATCCAGTCGCACGGCTGCTCCTCCTCGAAGTCCCTGGAACACACAGCACATTGTAGTAATAATATGGTTGAATCTTATCTAATCATATCCTTGTGTATGGAACTGTTGTGGTTAACCTATTTTTATTAGAGCTGGAAACGATTATAATTTTGAATCGAGATAATTACAGCTTAAAAATTAATTAATCGTAATTAATCTATCTCTAACTATCGGCCAACTGATGCCATATTTTTCTGTAAATGGTTGTTTGAATGGAAAGATAAATGACAACATAGTGTACATGTGTACAGGATGTGTTTATTATAACAATAAATGCCCATTAAATGGCATTAACATTATAAACATTCTGTCTTTCTGGAGTGACTCAGATCAAAACTATCGTTTATTGATGAGGGACACTTCAAAACCGTCTGAAATGCAGAATGTCATTACATCTGTTTGATTTGCTCTCAGCATTTGACTTTTGGGCACAACCAACATGAACTGGTAATGGAAAGGAAAATTACCCCAAAGGAAAGGTACCCCAGCTTTAATATAGCCAGTGCGCTTCGGGAGGAGACACGGAGGAGAAAGAGGCTCCGTGGTCCAGCTTCAGCCGTGCATTTATTGCGTGCACAGGTTACGCAAAGACACGCACGCAACAAGCAGAGAGTCCAGGGAGAGTATGGTCTTGGATATGACGTTGTGCTGGCGCCTTTCGCCGTGTTGGTTGTCAAAACGGCTCACAGCCACTGGAGGTGTCCTCTGTCCAGAGCGGCCGCAGCTGCCCCGGGTCAGAACGCTGCAGGAGGATGCAGACTCCCGTTCAGTTCATAACAAACAACCACAGGTGTCCCGCGGTCGCGAGCGTATTGTTTTTTTAACTCGAATTCCCAGATGGCCTACCTGCTCTGTCACCATCTCACACACGCATGTGTCCGCGGCATTCTGAGTGTTATTATGTGTTGATGGTGTGTTGATGGTGTGTTGATGGTGTGTTGATGGTGTGTTGATGGTGTGTTGATGGTGTGTTGATGGTGTGTTGATGGTGTGTTGATGGTGTGTTGATGGTGTGTTGATGGTGTGGTGATGGTGTGTTGATGGTGTGGTGATGGTGTGGTGATGGTGTGGTGATGGTGTGGTGATGGTGTGGTGATGGTGTGTTGATGGTGTGTTGATGGTGTGGTGATGGTGTGGTGATGGTGTGTTGATGGTGTGTTGATGGTGTGGTGATGGTGTGGTGATGGTGTGGTGATGGTGTGTTGATGGTGTGTTGATGGTGTGGTGATGGTGTGGTGATGGTGTGTTGATGGTGTGTTGATGGTGTGGTGATGGTGTGGTGATGGTGTGGTGATGGTGTGTTGATGGTGTGTTGATGGTGTGGTGATGGTGTGTTGATGGTGTGGTGATGGTGTGGTGATGGTGTGGTGATGGTGTGGTGATGGTGTGGTGATGGTGTGGTGATGGTGTGGTGATGGTGTGGTGATGGTGTGTTGATGGTGTGTTGTGCTGTTCTCACGTGTCATCATCGTCAGAACGTTGCTGTAGACGCTCCTCGTCCACATCCTCCGCTGTGAGACCGTCAGTGTGGTCCTCTTGCTGTTGGCACACACCTCCTTTTCCTGCTTCTCCTCCTGCTCCTGCTCCTGCTCCTGCTTCTGCTCCTGCTTCTCCTCCTGCTCCTGCTTCTGCTCCTGCTTCTGCTTCTGCTCCTAACCAGCACAAAACGTAACAGTAAGTACCGGAATAGTAAAAATAAATTACTATGATCCGCTGAAACATCAGGTAATTACCGTAATTAAGCTGCTACTTTTTTCTAGTTCTTCAAACCTTGCGGGGTTTAAAAACCTTATGCAGGTTTTTTTTTTTATTATTTTGGATATCAAAATTGCATGACAGTTAATCAATTAATGTCAATCTGAAAAAGATTCCGGCAAAAAAAATCCAATATTTCATAAAAAGAATGTGTTTTTAATGAGTTTAAGTTGTATACGTTCTAACCTGTGTGTGACGTCTCAGCGGGTTACGCCCATGCATTGAAAACCATGGATCTATGCCACAGATACTCGCCTTTTCTCTCTTCTCTCCACTGATGCCCGACACAATACTGCACTCTACAGGTGACAATTGCTCACTACACATATATTTCCGTTTTGAGAGTGAAAATGTGACTGAGGTGGGATTTGAAACCCAGTTAGTGGGATGCCAGCGCATTGACTATCACAGCGCCAATGAGAATACATACACTGGTAGTACTATCATATTCGCTGTACACCGCCTTGTTATCTTGAATATCCGTGAAAAAAGACCAAATACCAAATTGTAAACAACTTACAGACGGTTGAAACGTACTCGCTCTGACGTCACCAAGGGAGAAGGGGCGTTGCTATGGTTTTATCTCGATTCGGGGATCAAACAAAAACTTCAGACATCGAAACTTTTAGTAGTTCTCTTCTAATATCAAATGGTATTAAAACTGTATTTCTAAATCCATCAAACCCTGCATAAGGTCTTTAAACATTAAAACCTGCGTCTTTATGTGGACAAAATAGATTTTTCTTTTCAAATGTCGGTGGTGCGGGTCACATAGAGGTAAGCCTTTCTAGTCCAGAAAGTAGGGTAACCAGTACGAGCTCATACTTAGTTACACAAACCCATTGAAATGGCGTACATTTGACCAGGGAAAAATATGCAATTAACCGCGAGTTAACTATGACATTAAATATTTGAATCGTTTGACGGCACGAAAATAGTTACATGAATTACTTTTACAAATCTGTCATTCTTCATTTTCACCCAGAAACAAAGACTACATTTCCAGGAAAAAGCTTGAAAAGTGTAATTTACTCTTATATCTGTTACAATGTCAGTATTCTTTTGCCATGCCAGTCCATATTGATAGTCAGCATGAATAAAGCAGATGCCTGTTTAAATGTGAGCTGTGATGTCCACCTGCTCTGTGTATGATGAATGTGCTGAAGGCCCTGTGCACAGGGGCCTCCTCCAACACCCTGAGCAGCCTCTGTGCTGGCTCTCTGCTCCACTCTCTCCTCCGCCTGTTCTGCTGTGCTCCCCCTGGTTCCTCTGGTTCCTCTGCTGCTCTGCCCTGGTCACTGGAGCTCCCAGTGTCTGCAGACTGGAGGCGTGCGTTGGAAAGTCTCTGCAGCACTGTGTGTGAGGGCGACCATTGCTTCCTGTGAGGGGCCTCGCAGCTCTCACTGTGTGCCCACTCTGTGTCTGGCGAAAGAACACACTCATTTACAACTGTTCATGTGTAATGACTCAGACAATATGATACTATGACAAACATGTTTTAAATATGAAATGTACACATGTGTAAATTATACAGATATCCTCTTGAGTGGAGAAACAGCTCTGTCTAGTGGTAGAAGTGAGAAATTACCTGATGCGATTGTCACAAACAACCAACATGGTACAGTGTCACTGAATACCATGGATCTATGATAACATCCCCCAGATTTAGACCCAGGGCATGTAGGATAAAAGCAGTCATAAAGAAATTCACCACACTAGTCTCTAGACTCAGGACTTAACTTGCTCTCATCCCCCAAAGACTCGGACTCATGGTTTTAGGACTCATGAACATTGCGAGTCCTATGGCATGGCCTGCTGACACACAGTAGCCTATACACAGGCTGGTAAGTGTGTGCGCTCTTTGGCCTTTTTGACTGTAATAATATGTAATTACACCATAATGCCAAAGCGAAATATGAAAAAAGCGGTGCCTATGAGTATGGCCTGCAGGCTTAAATGTTTAAGACTGGAAAAATACTTTCTAAAAAAATCATTCAATTAATTTAAATTGTTTAGTCCTTTTAAAATTTTCCTAGCCATAATGTTAAGATGTAGGAAATGAGACTTGGCTTGGACTTGCGGGTCAGAGACTTGTGTGCATCTCTGGTGCATAGTTCAGAATAAGAGGATTCAGACAAAGAGGGCAGAGGGATGAGTTTATTCTGATTTAGAAGAAGCGAACTCACAGAAGACGATTTTGCACATTATGTGGCCTTTAAAATGGTCAGCTGCTATAAAACAGCCCGATCATTTTGAAACAGCAGGATAGAACACAGTCCAAGTGTTGCCTTTCATTTCATAAACTGTATATATTACCTTGCGAGGTGGCTGTGTGCACTAAGCTCTTCTCTCCAAGACGCCTGGTCACTTCCTCCCCCTGCTCTGGGTCCCACCTCTGCAGACGCCTCCCCCTCCTCTCCTGTCCCGTGCTCTCCCAGGCCTGGAACACATCAGCTCTGAGCATCACATCTGAACCAACAAGCAGCTGTCAGAGGTCGTACATTCACAAAGGGGAACCTGACCCCTACAGCCCCCGTGGCCACCGGGCGCCCTGACTGTATGTTGTTCTGATGGATGGGCGGCCTTAAAACATCCCTTCAACTATGGGAACAAACACAACACAATGTAGGAATGTAGCAAATGTGAAGCTTCTTTATAATCTATCAATCTATTGAGCAGAGCCAGATAATGTTGTTTTTATTTGGTATAACACTATTGAAAACGTTTATCTAAATATGTGACAGAGGTCAAACATACATTCTTGTGAAAACTAGTGATTAAACTTTGTCTGATCCATCCCTGGGTCTTACCTCTGGCTGCAGGTGGCTCCGCAGCAGCTTGGACACTCTGTGGGAGGTCAGGATGGTGTGGAGCGATGGCCGGTCTCTGGGCTCGGTCTTGAACATGTGCTTGAGCAGATAGTGCAGCTCGTAGGGCAGGTGTTTGGGGAGGGGAGGGTACGCGCCCCGACACACCTTCAAGATCAGCCTCTTCCAGCTGGGCGCCTGGAACTGCATCAGAGAAACGCAAATATCCGCTTTATGTAGATCAAATGTACAGTACGCAGGAGGAGATGTGGCTTTGTTTAAATTGGGCGTTCACAAAGCAGCGTCTTATGATGTCATAGTTTCAAACAGTGGGAAAAGACCTATGTAACTATGTTTCTCCAAACCTCTAATCCACAGTTGTTGGATGTCACTTGGCTGCACAAACTTGTCATTTCAACCTCATCTAAAAGCTCTTTCCACTGACAGGAATCATTGGAAGATGTTGGACTAAGCTCCAGTTTTTATTTCATGTTGAGTAACTATAAACAACACAAACCAGGTCAACGAATGCACACTACACTTAGAGAAGATATATTACACATTATTTTTGTCATATCATATTTAAGAATGTGAAATAATGAAATATATGTAGAAAATATATGGTGAGCATAAAAGCTATTAAAAACTATATATAAAAACTAATGCTATGGGCCCGCCCTATCCCTATGCTACCACCAGAGGGCGGTGGAGAACGTTATTTACACACAGCCATGTGATTGTAAACAATGTCATTTCACTAAATTACCAAAACTAATTTCACGGCAAAACTGTGTGAGAAGAGAACTGCTCTTAGTGGGATATCATACGTATTAGCGTGGACGGCTCTAAAAACAACTCCAGGTCTTGGCATAAAATGTAAACAACAGAAACAACAGAACAGAAAATTCCACCATAGAATTGTCAACTGACGACTGAAAGTTTTTGAATGATGAATAGAATAATGGATGCAGAATTGTCTAGGTGCACATGGGGGAAACGTACCGGGTGCTGAAGGGTGCAGAGCTCGTACAGGACACATCCCAACGACCAGACATCACTGACAGAGAAAACTTATGTCAGCAATTCTCATTATTATCATGGGAAATAAATGAGAATCTGAATGACAGAAAAGACATGCAACTGATCGGCAGAAGTACCAGAACTATACTATACTAAATACTGTGAAAAATCTTCTTGTCAATCAAATTAAAATCTACAGTGATTTCATGTTTATTGCAAGATTACATTCTAAATAACCCACAAAAACTCTATCCTGGACGGACTATATTTTTTGCCTTTAACATGTTTGCACACTTCTGTCTTTGGCACAATCCGAGTGATTCTATCTTTGCCAAATGTGACATCAATAAAGTTTTCTAAAATCTTATCTTAAAATATTTGTTTCTTTTTTTGCACTCTTTTTGAATCCAGCACGCTAGTCCACGCTACTGGGATGTGCGGCCTTTTTTGAAACCTCCTTCAGTGATTCAGAGTTGTGTTTTAAAAAATATAGGTTTAAACTTTTTTTAAATGATGTACTGGTACTTGCAAATGTTTTGCAAACGTGTGTGTGTGTGTGTGTGTGTGCGTGCGTGTGTGTGTGTGTATGTTGTGCGTGTGTGGTGTGTGTGTATGTGTGTGTGTGTGTGCATGTGCGTGTATGTGTGTGTGTGTGTGTGTGTGCATGTGCATTTATGTGCGCGTGCGTGTGTGTGTGTGAATACATAGATGTATAGTTCTACAGCAGGGGTGGGCATTTATTTTTCTCTGGGCGACCACACCTGTGTTCTTAAAGTTTTTGCTTAATTGAATTAGGATTAGATTATATTTGCTATTTTCTGTGAAAGCTTCTTCAGCAAAGTTACTTTGTGCTGTGTGAATAAAAGACACTTAGGAGCAACATAGCTGTGCGGATTGTTTTTCATGTTTTGCACTCTTTTTGAATCCAGCTCGCTAGTCCACGCTACTGGGATAAACAAAAATAGAAAATAAAAGATATCTTGTGTTGTCTTTAAAGTCTGTGGTTAGAGTTTTGTTTGAACCTTTTGATATTATGAAGGTGAGAAGACGATTATCATATCGATTGTGGGTTTCAATAATACGTTTTGCTTTTTTATAGATGGTTTTGTAGATGCAAAACTGGACCAAAGTATTGTGGACTGCTTTACAGATTCATGTTTTTGACAATTTATTACTAATATTGTTTTGCATTCATAATTTTGAGCAAAATATATGTTACAAAGTTTCATTTTATGGACACCAATTCATTCAAGTAGGCTGAGAGAGCACCGGCCGTTAAGTGGACAGTATGAGGTAAACAGCTGGGAAGGGTCCAGGGTCCATGGAAACATGAAGAGGGCTGCATGTGGCAGTCTCACAGATTAGAACTGAAAAAGGACTGTGGACGAACCTCTTATTGTTGTAAGGCTGATTGTCCCAGATCTCAGGAGCGACATAGTATGGCGTGCCGACGTATGTCTGAGCATACGCTTTTGAACTGAAAAATACATATAATGATTATAGTATTAATAGCATCATTAGTGCTGCCGGCACAAAATCAGCCCCAAGTCATCCTACGCACACAGTGATTGGAGAAAACAAAAGCAGTTGTGTTCACTGATGATTACTGGATGTTAATCAGTAATCGCAATTATGTCCAGGTCACAGTCCAAATCCAGGGACTTTTAGAATAGATACGTGTGTTGGTAAGTAATTGTGAGATAACTATGACAATAATGTGATTCATCATGATTATATATATATATATATATATATATATATATATACAATTTTAAAGAGGTCACATATCACAGTACTAACCAGGCCCTACCCAGCTTAGCTTCAGAAGGGATCTGGCTTTCACTTAAAGGTGTGGTCATAGTGAAGGCTGCAATAGTGCAGCCATCCTCTGATGGAGGAGCAGTGAGGAGCAGTGAGGAGCAGTGAGGAGCAGTGAGAAGCACTGAGAAGCACTGAGGAGCAGTGAGGAGCAGTGAGGAGCAGTGAGAAGCACTGAGGAGCACTGAGAAGCACTGAGGAGCAGTGAGGAGCAGTGAGGAGCAGTGAGGAGCAGTGAGGAGCACTGAGGAGCAGTGAGGAGCACTGAGGAGCAGTGAGGAGCAGTGAGGAGCAGTGAGGAGCAGTGAGGAGCAGTGAGGAGCAGTGAGGAGCAGTGAGGAGCAGTGAGAAGCACTGAGGAGCACTGAGAAGCACTGAGGAGCACTGAGGAGCAGTGAGGAGCAGTGAGGAGCAGTGAGGAGCAGTGAGGAGCACTGAGGAGCAGTGAGGAGCAGTGAGGAGCAGTGAGAAGCACTGAGGAGCACTGAGAAGCACTGAGGAGCAGTGAGGAGCAGTGAGGAGCAGTGAGGAGCAGTGAGGAGCACTGAGGAGCAGTGAGGAGCAGTGAGGAGCAGTGAGGAGCAGTGAGGAGCAGTGAGGAGCAGTGAGGAGCAGTGAGAAGCACTGAGGAGCACTGAGAAGCACTGAGGAGCACTGAGGAGCAGTGAGGAGCAGTGAGGAGCAGTGAGGAGCAGTGAGGAGCAGTGAGGAGCAGTGAGGAGCAGTGAGAAGCACTGAGGAGCACTGAGAAGCACTGAGGAGCAGTGAGGAGCAGTGAGGAGCAGTGAGGAGCAGTGAGAAGCACTGAGGAGCACTGAGAAGCACTGAGGAGCAGTGAGGAGCAGTGAGGAGCAGTGAGGAGCAGTGAGGAGCAGTGAGGAGCAGTGAGGAGCAGTGAGGAGCTGGTGCTCTATGGATTGAGTAGCAGCTCTGATTGATGGAATAAGCACTAATAATAATAATAATAATAATAATAATAATAATAAAACCTCTGAATACACCCCCATTTTTAGGGTTACAGGTTTACTCACCTGTTCAGAACACAAGCTGATCCAAAGTCTCCAAGTTTGATTGTCCCATTTTCTGTCAGGAAAATATTCTGGGAACAAGATTTCAAGCAAACTCTAAATACATAATTTATTCAAAACATAAGATAAGATGTACTTTATTAATCTCACACAGGAGAAATTGACATTATATATTTGAGGATGATGAGGCTGTTTCATCATAGGACTAACATGCAGGTAAAACTCATAGTTTAAAGTTCATACATTTCTGTATCAGCTTTTTTACAATCACACTTTTGTTACCAGTCTTACTGTGACTCCTAAGGTCACAGTCCAAATGTAATGCAGCTCATTACATGTAAAGTATGTCATTTTACAAGTAATGAGTCAAATTCATTTACATCATACTTTATGCCAAGACTTCTAAAATTCTAATTTGATGAGATGTTTTGGAGTGTATTAACAGCTGTGAACCAAATGTCAACATCATAACATTAAAGGCTTGATATAGCTCCCTTTGCGTGTTTTCTGAGTTTCACCTGTATAATGAAAACTACATTAGTAAATATGTTTAAAAAAAACTGTTTTATGTGCTAACAATAGTAGTCTAAAATACTTGAATGTAATGCAAGAGTCTCACATAATAAGTAAGTAAGTAAGTAATCTTTATTTATATACCGCCTTTCACAGACCAGAGTCACAAAGCGGTTTACAATAAGACATATGTACACACTACTGAGACCAGTGCATCTTTAAACCAATATTATTTCTCCTTAATGTTTTTACTACAACATGCTCCTGTAAACTAATTGGTGTAAAATAAACCAACATTTAATTGAGATTTTGGACTGGCCAAAATCTCTAAATTGGGAAAAATTAAAAACCTAATTTTAGACAAACAAAAATCAATACACTGATTGAAATAACATTATATGACAGAACAACACATGTTCACAGTGGTACTACACCTTTGTCTTTAGGTCCCTGTGTAAAACTCTCTTATCATGAATATGCTTGGCACCTGCACACATTTGAGCGAACCATTTAAAAATCTGCAACAGAGAGTACGAAGAAAATGTAGTCAATAAACAAAAGTCCTATTAATACAATCTCATACTCACATTGTCAACTGGGAAGGGTTTTTTTTGCTGTCGCTGTATCCTCTGCAGCAGGTCTCCTCCGCTGCAGTGCTCCATGACAATACATAGAAGGTTACCGTCTAAAACAAACACAATCTCAATGTCATTTCATGCACAAAACAATATCCGTGGAGTACCTTCGAAGAACTCCCTGAAGGCAACGATATTAGCATGTCTCATTTTGGACAGCAGCACAGCCTCTCTCCTGGTACTCTCACATCTGGAATTCTGCTGCAGTCGTTGGATAAGAAATTACACATAAGATGAATTCAGTAGGTTATTATTTCAATCTAAATGCAATTTTGTTGCATGCCACGCAATTTCAGCCAAATGGTTGATTTAGGGAGAACTGGGAAGAGGAGACACCAATTGCATAGGTGCTTATATGACAAAACAACGTCATGTGTGAATAAAATATCATTACTTCCCGTAATAACGTGGTTCAACCATAGACTGTATTTATTATTAATGCTCATATCCCAGTAACATACCTCCCAAGTTAATAGTATATTTGGTAAATTTAATAGTATAACAATTGTTTGTCACACCTGGGGCAGCTGGATCTCTTTCAGAACATATTTATGCTCGGTGTTCTTGCAATAAACAAGTAAAGCACGGCCAAAAGATCCTTGTCCAATGATTTCTATGAGTGAGTATTTCTCCATCGGACACCTTTAAAACAAGCACAAAAACAATGGTTTTAAGTCACAAAACTGATGCTTATTACTCGCATAATCAGGTTAAAATAATGTCTGAATCAAACAAATGAGCTGGAATGATTAAATACCAGTTTGTTGAAGAGTTGGACCGTCACTTCCGTGTTATTGTGTGACGTCACCGGCGTGGTCTTCACTTTCCCCCTGAGCAGCACTCGGGAAGCAAGCAATGTTATCAGAAGCCTTTTTTCAAACAACTTCACGTTAAAAAAATAAAATGACTTACATTAATCTGAAATTGGTCCGGAGTTTGAGGCAAATAAGAGAATTGCACCTGGGCCGTGTTGTGCTGTGTGAACGCAAGGTGGCAGCAGACGCACATTTTATTGCGTTGTTATCAAATAGTCTCAAGTTTTCTGTTTTAAGCATAGGTTTTAAAAGGATGGGTAAGAAATATTAAGGTATAACTAACTGCAATATTTTGTATTTATGTTTTATGCGTTGCTCATCTACATTAGCCATTACATTATCGTTTGCCCAGGACTCCCACCGATTTCTCTGCTCTCTCTGTCTGGTTATAATTCAATGAGCTCGTGACAGATCTTTAAGTTTAAGGGAATGTAAATTGACCATATAATTTCACATGTTGTTAGGTCTTTTGCATAATAGAGACCAAATTGTAACATTTGAGAATTGGTAGCAGCAGATTATAGTTGTAGTTCAGAGCCCGGATAGCTCAGTCGGTAGAGCATCAGACTTTTAATCTGAGGGTCCAGGGTTCAAGTCCCTGTTCGGGCGATAGTTTTTTTTATACATTTCCCAATTCCGTACAGTCAGTATGTAAGGAATAACAATCAAATGGGAAAATCCAACCACATGATTTCTTGCTCTCACAAACAATACTGCTTGAACTTTATCCAGCTTTTAATGCCATGCAGCCCCATATTGGACCAGCCGTCTTTTCAATGATTTTAATTTGAGCATTACATTTTTTTGATTCTTACCTTGCCTAGAAAACTGGACACAGAGACTGAGGGTCTGACCCAACAAGCATGTTGCAAAGCCACCAAGAGAACAAGTCCATTCTTTATAGGGACTGTATATAATATGCAGTCTTTAGTGTAATAAAGTCCTTAAAATTACAATAACAATCAGACAATTGTCTTGCTGCCTGGGACACCTGTTCAAACCCTCTGTATTACATAGGACTATTGTTGTATTTTATGTATTTGTCTGCCTTGGGACTACAGGTGAGTGTAATGCTCATTAATGAACATTACACACACACACATATACACACATATATATATTTCATGTTCCTTCCGGAAGAAGGAACATGAAAAGCTTGAGAAATACCAAGGTCTCAGAGAGGAGCTGGAGAGGGCCTGGAGGGTAAAGGTCACAGTAGTGAGAGGGCCTGGAGGGTAAAGGTCACAGTAGTGAGAGGGCCTGGAGGGTAAAGGTCACAGTAGTGAGAGGGCCTGGAGGGTAAAGGTCACAGTAGTGCCCGTGGTGATCGGTGCACTCGGGGCAGTGACCCCGAAGCTAGAAGAGGTTACAGCGGATCCCCGGAACAACCTCGGACATCTGGGTCCAGAAATGTGCAGTGCTAGGAACAGCAAAGATACTGCGCAGAACCCTCAAGCTCCCAGGACCCGAGCTTAGAGAGGGATAACCGCCCACGGAGGGCCAAAGGTGAGTGGACAATTTTTATTTTTTATATATATATATATATATATATATATATATATATATATATATATATATATATATATATATATATATATATATATATATATATATATATATATATATATATATATATATATATATATATATATATATATATATTGATATTGATATATATAGCTGGATAGCTCAGTTGGTAGGGCACAGGACTGGGACCTGGGAGGCCAGGGTTCGAATCCCACCAGGAGCACATTAACACCAACATCCAGTGAGGGTCCTTGGGCAAGACCCTTAATGCTACTGCCTAACTCATAACCATGAAGGTACAAATAAGCAATGAGATGCCGGATCAGCCGTCGCCCGGCCAAACAAGGTCTGCGTCAGGTGCTGGGGAACCAGAGCACCTTGATGAAAAGTGGGCTACTGGAACAAGGCGAAAGTGGACGAGATGCGATAACAGGGCTCTGTTGGAATGCTACTACTCGAGTAACCCTGGCCAAAGAGGTTACATGCAGAGAATGTGGGCTGAATGGTTACTTCGAAACCCACAGTCACAGTTGACCCCGAAACAACTGGTAGCTCAATGCTCCAACATCCACAAACGGCAACTGCTATCACAGCTTGAGATTGATGAAGTACAACACATATATGATGCCACAGTTGCGGAGGTCAGAGGGGAGATCCCACCAACTGCAACTCCCCAACCAGATATTGGGTACATAGCCCCAATGGAACCGATAACGCTGAACGAGGCAGCGACTGACCTGAAAGCTAAGATCATGGCTAGAATGGGCACAGGGCAAAGACACCGGTTACAGCGGTTGTGTGAAGTACCACCTAAGGATCTCATAGAAAGCGTGAATGCAGCAGTGAGGGCAATACCTACCACCACAATCACTGAAACCAATGAGCTGATATACACTTCAGCAGCAGTGATCCTAGAGATGCTTGGCTATAAGAGCAACCATGGGAGCCATGGACAATACCCACCATGGAAAAGACGGTTGGAGGCTAAGATCAAGGCGGCTCGGAGAGAAGTGAGTCAATTAACAGAGGCCCAGAGAGGTGCAATGAAAAGACCAGTACCCAGAAAGTACAGCCAGATGACCATACCTGAAGCACTCGAAACTGCCAAACAAAGGCTCCAAGCCCTGGCCAGCCGCCTACAGAGGTACACTAAAGAGAATGAAGCCAGAAGGGTGAACAGGCTGTTCGCAACACAACCTGCGAAGGTGTACGCTCAGTGGCAGGGTAACAACAGGGGAGCAGATCCACCGAGGCTGGAAACTGAACAGTTCTGGAGGAACATATGGAGGAACATATGGGAGAAGGATGCAGCACATAACAGAAGTGCACAATGGCTGGTGTCCCTGAGAGAGGAGCACAGCCACCTCCCAGAACAGAACTCAGTTACCATCACAGAGGCAGACATCCGAGAAAGAGTCTCAGGTATGAAAAACTGGACAGCACCTGGCCCTGATATGGTCCATGCCTACTGGCTAAGGACACTCACATCACTCCATGAGCGCCTAGCAGCACAAATGAACCAGCTGCTGAGAGATGGGACTCACCCAGAATGGCTAACCGAAGGGCGAACGGTCCTGATCATGAAGGACCCTGTCAAGGGTGCAGTCCCCTCCAACTACCGGCCAATAACCTGTCTCTCCACAACATGGAAGCTCATGTCCAGGCATCATTGCGGCTAAGATAAGTGGGCATATGGAACAATTCATGAGCACAGCACAGAAGGGCATTGGTAGGGACACCAGAGGAGCCAAACACCAGCTCCTGGTTGACAGAACAGTCGCCCAAGACTGCCGGTCACGACACACCAACCTGTGCACAGCCTGGATTGATTACCAGAAAGCCTACGACTCAATGCCACACACATGGATCATGGAATGCTTGAAGTTGTACAATATCAACAGGGCTCTAAGGGACTTCGTTGCAAACTCGATGGGAATGTGGAAGACCACCCTTGAGGCAAATGGCAAGCCGCTCGCACAAGTGACCATCAAATGTGGTATCTACCAAGGAGATGCTCTGTCCCCACTACTGTTCTGCATAGGCCTCAACCCTCTAAGCCAAGTCATTGACCAGACTGGCTATGGATACCGCCTCAGGAACGGAGCAAAGATCAGTCACCTCCTCTACATGGATGACATCAAGCTGTACGCCAAGAGCGAGAGAGACATCGACTCTCTGATCCAAACAACCAGGATCTACAGCCATGACATCGGGATGTCATTCGGGCTCGAGAAATGTAGCAGGATGGTGACTCGGAGAGGCAAGGTAGTCCACACAGAAGGGATCTCACTCCCAGAGGGAACAATAGCAGACGTTGAGGACAGTTACAAGTATCTCGGTATACCACAGGCAAATGGCAACCTCGAACAGGTGACGAGGAAAGCGGCAACTGCCAAATACCTCCAGCGAGTAAGGCAGGTCCTAAGAAGCCGGCTCAATGGCAAGAACAAGGCCCGGGCAATTAACAGCTACGCCCTGCCAGTGATCAGATACCCTGCAGGAATAATCAGGTGGCCAAAGGAAGAGATTCAGACCACGGATGTTAAAACTCGAAAGCTCCTTACCATGCATGGCGGGTTCCATCCCAAATCCAGCACCCTGAGACTGTACGTAAGCCGTAAAGAAGGAGGCCGAGGACTAGTGAGTGTGAGAGCCACTGTCCAGGACGAAACATCCAAACTCCATAACTACATCATGGAGAAGGCCAAAACGGATGACGTACTCAGTGAATGTCTCAGGCAGTGGCGAGATGAGGAGGTGCTGGAGGAGAGCCCATCATGGGAGAACAAGCCCCTACACGGCATGTACCACCGGAGCATAACAGAAGTGGCTGATCTCAAGAAGTCCTACCAATGGCTAGAAAGGGCTGGCCTACAGGACAGCACAGAGGCACTCATCATGGCTGCACAGGAACAGGCACTGAGCACCAGAGCGATAGAGGCCCAGATATACCACACCAGACAAGACCCAAGGTGTCGGTTGTGCAAAGAGGCACCTGAGACGATCCAACACATAACTGCAGGGTGCAAGATGCTGGCAGGGAAGGCCTACATGGAACGCCATAACCAAGTGGCTGGCATAGTGTACAGAAACATCTGTGGAGAGTATGGGCTGGAAACCCCAAGGTCTAAGTGGGAAACTCCTCCAAAGGTGGTGGAAATGAGCGTGCGAAGATCCTGTGGGACTTCCAGATACAGACCGACCGAATGGTAATGGCAAACCAACCTGACATCGTGGTGGTAGACAAAGGGCAGAGGACAGCCGTGGTGGTGGACGTGGCAATTCCAAGCGAT